CTTCCCAAGGCTCCAGGATTGACTCCAACTGGAAAATCAAAACTGGGGTCCTGGTCCTCACAGAGTGGTTTCTCCTGGCTGGATGCAGCACCATGGAAATCCAGGAATTCCCATCCTGGGGTGTTTAGGAAGTCAGTAGAGAGGAATATGTTAAGAGCTGGGCTGGAGATTGATTTTCCTTCTCCTTGCTGTCACAGCTCTCAAAAAAACTTGGAGTGCCCTTGGAAGTTTCTTGTCCCATCCTGATTCCTCAGAATCATGGAATGGTTTGGGTTGGAAAAGCTCATCTGGTTCCATCCTCTGTGGGTGGGGGCAACTTCCACTGTTCCAGGTTGCTCCAAGCCCCATCCAACCTGGCCTTGGGCACTTCCAGGGATTCCAATTTATATGGACAATCTGTGCCAGGGCCTCACCACCCTCACAGGGAAGAATTTTTTCCCAAAATCTCATATAAACATTCCCTCTACATCTACCATTAAAAAAAAAAAACCCAAAAAAAACCAATTCCAAGATGTTTATTGTTTATTCTCTTTTTGTGGAGAGCTGACTCATAGCAGGGCTGGTGGCTGGGAACAGGTTGTTCATGGAATTACACAGGGAATAAAACAAATGGAAGTGAGTAGGAGGAAGATGCAATCCAGATCAGCACAGCTCCAGCTCTCTGCGTGTCTCAGCCAGATGGAAATTTCAGGAGGTTTACGGGAAAAAAGTCTTGAAAAATAATGGATTTACAGCTCCAGTGGTATTGTTCCTGTGTCCTCTCTGGAGAAGGTCTGGGATTTTGGATTTGAGATTTTCAGGGATGGTCCTACTTGGTCAGGTCAAAGCCATGCTGAGGAACACATTAACAATTAAAAACTGTGGACAGCTGTTCAATGGCCCTTGAAACTGTGCATGGATTTTCCATGTATTATTAGTACAGATTCCATGACAGCTCTCCTGCAGTGATTCCAGCCCCAGGGAAGCGCGAAGGGCTGTTGGATCCCCCCATTAATCCCCAGGTGACCTAATCCAGATCCAGCTGGATTAGGATTTGGGCAATACAGGAGCCCCAAAGGCACCATAAAATCACGCAATATCCATCACCAGGGATTTGGGATGGCCCCGGGGTACCATTTTCCTGCCCTGCTTGCAAGAGAGGAAGCCAAAGGGCAAAGTCTCAGGATTTCAACACCTTGGTGTATCCCAGCCCTGGGCTGCCCACGCTTGGTTCCTGATCCTGAGTGTCTCTTCCCCATGGAAATAGACATGGAGAGCATCCAGGAATGGGGAGAAGTGTGGGGGATTGGCAGGAGCAGCCACAAGGATCAAGTCCTTCCATGATTTAGGACTTAAGCAAAGGACTTAAGCTTGTGTGGGATGAACTCCAAGCTCCTCTTGGTTTCCCTGGGATCTGAACACCTGTGAGGGTCTGAGGTGAGGCCAGGTCTGTGTTGGGGGCATGGTGGTGGCAGCTCACCTCGGTGTCCTGATTTTGACAAGGTCACAACCAGGCAGGATGAAAAGAATGAGCCTTGCAGGATCAGCACAGAGAAATCCCTGTGGAGAAGGGATGGGAAAAAAGAGGGTGGGAAAATCACTTTTCACTGTTGTTGGGTTGAGGAGGGGAAGAGCTGGAGCTCTCACTCATCCGGGAGATGCTCAACACACACAGTTCCTCTTCTGCCAGGGCCACATGTCCTTCAAAGTGCTGCAATTCCTGGCAAAGAGTGGTGCCATATTTGGCCTCTTCCTCCCTCAAAAACTCCAAAAAAAAATAAAGGATGGGGAGCAAGACTCTGCAATTGCTTCAATGGGTTTTGTTTAGGGCTGGAATATCCCTGGAGCTGAGAATCAATTCCATCCTGCGACATCTGATGCGCTAGGACTGGGTGGGGAATGGCAAAACAGAGGGACAGATGGAATTATCTGGGAATCCACCTGAGAAGGGATGAGGCAGGTGTGTCACCCTCTGACCACAGGGGAGCTGAGTGGGTAAAAACTTCAGGACATACAACAGGAAAAGGTCCCACGATGTTTCTGTCCTTCCTCATCCCTGGGTTTCCTACATGGAGGAAAAAAAACTTTTCTGGGGCCATTTTTGAGAAGAACCTGATATAAGGCTCCCAAAAAATGAGCATATCCCTCTTCCTTGACTTCCAAACTTTGATCTACATCCAGGAAGATTCAACAGCCAGAACATTCCAGAGAGTCAGGCAAACAAAGCCACATTTCCATGGCTCCAACAACACAGTGTTCCAGAGCCAAGAGTAAAATCCAGGATCGAGTTCTCATCCTGAAGGACGTGATTCAAATGCCTGCAAGGGCCTGATTTCCAAGGATGAACCTGAACTAGGGAAATAAACAGTTGCTAGGAACATCCCTGCTCTAGAACATCATCCACAGCATTTAATTAGTTGGTTTAATTGTTGGCACATTCCCTGGCAAGGTTCTAGGATGGATCAACCATCATTACTCCATGGAATACCTGAAATTAAACAGAAGAGGTGGCACAAAGGAATGATTATTCCCAAGAGGCTGATATCCACCTCTTGGCCTCTGTGCTGGAAATGGTCCTGGAAGAGCTGAATTTACTGCCACAGCTGTAGCCTGTGGATACTGGGACACCTTTTTTCCAGATCTTTGCCCTGACCCAGCCAAGCCTTCCATGCTCCAGTCATGCTGCTTCCATGTGCTGGCCATCCAGGGTGACACCACCATCCTGAGGAAATGCCAGCCATGGCAGCGCCACACCTCACACCTGCATCACACATCCCCAAGGCTGGGATGGTGACTTCCCAAAAATCTGGTTCAGTGGGCCACTGGCAACCCCCAAAATGGGAATTGACCCATCGTGCACTTTTGTCCATCACCCCACTTGTCCCTCAGGCCATTCCTGCCAGTGGAGCTGTGGTGGACCACTTCCCATGGCCTTGAAGAGCCTCTTCTGGCTGTCAGTGAGGAGCAGATTTTAATCTGGATTTGGTGATTTCTCTCTGGATCTGTGTCAGGCAGGAGATTATTTGTGTCATCGCTCCTTGGAACTGAGGGAATAAACATCGTTAATCATGGAATGGTTTGGGTTAAAAGGGACCTCAAAGACCCTTGTTTCAACCCCTTGCCATGGGCAGGGACAATTTCCACTATCCCTGTCCAACCTGGCTTTGAACACTTCTAGGGGTGGAGAGTCCAAAGTCCTGATCAAACTGAAGAGTAACACAATTATTTTCCCATTTTTTTCCTCAAAAAAATAGCCAGAACTGGTGAAAACAAAAGGATAGAGCTTTTCCAGGCTGCTCCCACTGCTGCAGGACGCAGAGCCTTGCCTTCCCAGGCTGACTTCCAGACTCCCCCAAAGAGTCACCCCTGATGCCACGATGAATCAGGCTGGCCAATCCTTATTCCCTGGAACAGGTCCTGCTCTTTGGTCACTGCCTTGTGACACCTGGCGGCACGGACACACGGACACACCTCCGGCATTCCTGGGGCACACCGTCCCCGAACCTGGCATGGCTTCATCTCTTGGGCAAGAGATGTGGTTTATCCTCCCCACACCCAGGTGTAGATCCATGGGTGAGGATTGGCCAGTGCTCCTGAGGTTATCAGGCATGACTTCCCCATCCTGTTGATCCAGTTTTACGTCACCAGAGCTGGTGGTGTGAGAAACCTCCAAAATATCTGTGAATCAAGCAAAAAAAGCTCTCTGCAAGATTTCCCCCAACGTTTTTTTTCTTGAAAAGGAAGATGTGGTGGGTTTTGGTGTCTCTTTGAATGTCCTATGGCCATGCCTTCACTGTGGTCAGTGATTGATCCAGTGACGGATGTTCTGAATGTCTTGGATGAGCATCTCCTCTGTTTCAGGGAATTTTGTTCACCTCACTTGGCTCCTGACAAGAAAATCATGTTGACCCCCAATCATTTTAACCCTTGCCTCATCCATCTTTCTTCCATGTGTTTTTGGACCCTCTGCCTCTTCTGCTTTTCCATCTCCTAAGTCCCAGGCTGTGTCAGTCTCTGCTCTCTTTGCCTGCAGGCTGGAGAAGGAAGGGATAAGCAGACACCTGATGGCCCAAGTGGCTTCACTCCAAGGGGCTCCTCTTGCTTCACCGTCTCTGCTCCTTGGTGGCTTGGTGATTCATGGAGGTGTCAGCTGATGTCCAGCACTAGACATCCTGATAACTCCTTCCTTGGAAGCACAAGTGGGACAGGCAGTCGGATTGAAGCCCCAGAAGGGATGAAGTTATCAGCTCCATCTCCTCCCCTTTCATGCTGAGAAATTGTAAAGGCTGGGGATGTTTTTGTCTGACTGGTATTAAACAGGACTTTGATTTGGATGCTCCATGAAAAATGGGACAAAGATGTTTTTAACCCTTGCTGGAAGTGTTCAGAGCCAGGTTGGATGGACACACTGCAAAGTGTCCCTGTCCCTGGCAGGGGGTTGGAATGAAATTGTCTTTAAAGTCCATTCCAACCTAAACCATTTGATGATTTTATGATTTAAGACTTTGTAGGTAACCAAGTGATGCATTTCCTGTTCCCGTGAATATCCACCTTGGTTTACCCTGCCTGTAGATGTTGGGAGTTCTCCAGGTCTAACCCTGGAAATGGACTTGGCATAATCCACCCAGATAATTCCATTAATTTATACCACTTGTTCCCATTTTCCTTGGAAAAAAGGAAATAACCTGGCCACAGATGCAATGATCAGAACAAAACCCCCACCCAGACATCAACAGCACTGCTGGCCTGACCAGAGATAAATTAAAGGATTAATCCCAATACATGGTGTGAATTCCCAGAGTGCTTTCACTGCTCCCTGGAATCGCCAGCCCAGCCTGAAGGCAATGCCGAGGTGAGAAAACAACCCACAAGCATTCCTGGCCTCTCATCTAATCCATGATCCCTGCCCACTCTTTCCAAATCATTGGCTTCCTCATCACCCCGTCCAAAGGCAGGGGAGATTTATATCCTGTCCCCAGGTGAGGGTGTTTTTCCTGGGCTGTGGAGACGACCAGGAGAAGATGAAGTTCTCCCTCCTTGCGGTGCTGGCTTTGGTCCTATTTGCAGCTCAAGGTGAGGTTTGCTCCTAGATAAAGTATAGCTGGGTGTTTTAAAGGTAGGAATGCCTCATATCCAGGGGGAGAAATCATGGAAGAGAGCTCCTCAGCTCTTGGAACGGTGCAGGTGAAGGATACAGTGCTCGTCTTGGGGTTGTTTATCTAGAATCTCAATCCGGGTGTGTGAAAAGTTTAATTTTTAGTTGGAATTTTCCTTGTCCTGTTGGATTTTTTATGGAAACAAGACAGAAAAAAGGAGGCAGTTCCCACTGGTCTGCCTTTGAGAGACTTTCCAGGGTGTTGTCCTGTCGGGGTGGTGGAAGGCTGTGGTTATTCCTAAATCTTGATGAAGACAGCACAATGCTCTGTGTTCCTGGTCCATGAGGGCCACACCTCCAACATCTGGCCCTGTGCAGCTGTTTATACCCATCTCCAAGAGCCCACAGCTTGCTGACTTCAGAGATTTTGGGACAAAATTGGGGAATTAGGGAGAAGTTGGGATGTGGGCTGAATGGGTTAATGGTGGTGGGTATTTGCATAGTATTTGTGTTGTAGATGGTGCATTTTATTTCATGGAGAGATGGTAAATTAAATCAGAGCCTTCTTTAAGGAATATGATCCCATATCCTCTATACAGCAGAGACAATAAACCTTTCCCTCATTTTGGAGAGCAGGACAGGCTTTGCCAGTGCTTGGAATTGTGCCACACGTCTGGTGCAGAAAAAGAATTCCTTGGAATAGTTATTTCTGGCTCATTGTGGCCTAAGAATACCTTTCTGCTATTTAGCTTTGTTCACTCACCATAACAGTGATCCTGACAGATTTCCAACTGTTAACAAGGCCCGGGAGACAGGGAGGTTGTCCTCAGTGCCAAAATGAAGCCTGGTCTAATCCACGTTGGATTATCCAGGCAGTAAAAATTAAGCATTCACTGCGTGTGTTTTCGGGCTGAATTCTCACAGCAAAGAGTAAGAAATCTTTCTCCTCGTCTTCTCTGTCCTTTAATCAAGGTTCTGGATTTATTTTTGGGGGCATTGATGTCCCACCCAAAGACAAAGGCGTGGGAGTCTGGCTTATCTAAACTGTGGAGGTCCCAATTAACCCTCTTCATCTGCCAGTGCATTCTGCCTAATTAGGCTGCAGTTTAATAGTCCCCAGCAAGTAGAAAAAGTGACTCCAGGGCTTGGGACATCCTTGGAAACTCCTCCAGGAGTCCCTGCCCTTCCCTGCTCCAAGCATCACACCAAACTTGGTGCCCTCGGCCTGTCAAATTGAAGGAGGGGAAATTTAGGTTGGATATATGGAAAAAATTCTTCCCTGTGAGGATGGTGAGGCCCTGGCACAGGATTCCCAGTGAAGCTGTGGCTGCCCCATCCCTGGAAGTGTCCAAGGCCAGGCTGGATGTGGCATTGGAAGAGTGGACTGGGTCTTTCAGCCCCATGGCTTTTATCAGACCTGAACCTTGTGTATTTAATATTCCATGAAAAGTAGGGGATGATTTTTGCTGCATTTCACAGAATCTAGAATCATTTAGGCTAGAAAAGATCTCCAAGATCCTCAAGTCCAACCTTTGATCACCACTGGAGCTCTGAGTGCCACGTCCAGGCGTTCCTTGGACACCTCCAGGGATGGGGACTCCAGCACCTCCCTGGGCAGCCCCTTCCAGTGCCTGACCGCCCTTTCCATGAAGAAATTCTTCCTGATGTCCAACCTAATGTAGTTTGAGGCCTTTTCCTCCTTTCCTGTCCCTTGTTCCCTGGGAGCCTGACCCATCCCTCGCTGCACCCTCCTGTCAGAGAGTTATGGAGAGCCAAAAGATCCTCCCTGAGCCTCCTTTTCTGCAGGCTGAGCCCCTTTCCCAGCTCCCTCAGCTGCTCCTGGTGCTCCAGACCCTTCCCCAGCTTCATTCCCTTCCCTGGACACACTCCAGCCCCTCAGAGTCTTTCTTGTCATGAGGGGACAAAACCAGACACAGGATTTGAGGCACGGCCTCAGCACAGAGGAACAATCCCTGCCCTGCTCCTCCCAGGCCTCAGCACAAGCCAGGATGATTCCATCTCCCTCTTGCCTTTTTTTGTGTCTCTTCCTGCAGCAAATTCCCTGTACTGCTACACCTGCAATTGGGAGCAAAGCAACTGGAGCTGCCTGAAGGCCGAGAAGTGTTCGGACAAGGACGAGTACTGTGTCACCAACGTGGCCTCTGTAGGAATCGGTAGGTGCTGCCTCTGGATCCCCTCCTGGGCACTCAGGAATGGGATGTGAGATCTGGGCTGGATTTGTGATGGGCTGAGGAGTCGCTGGGAAGAACAAGTTGGAGGTGGAGGCCTTCCTAACCCAGCATGGCGGTGCTGATGGTTTGAAATTCTCCTCCCCATCACACATGGAGATTTTTCTCTTCAGCTGTTGTTTTATTCCTGCACTGAAAATCAGGGGATATTGAGAAAAGAAGAAGGATCCTTCAGAGGAAGAATAAATAAATTTCAACATTGATTCCTTGTTCCCTGTGAGCAGAGCCTTAACCAAACCTGGCTGCACCCTCAGGGAGTTGTGGAGAGTGAAAAGGTCCCCTCTGATCCTCCTTTTCTCCAGGCTGAGCCCCCTCAAGCTCCCTCAGCTACTCCTGCTGCTCCAGACCCTTCCCCAGCTCCATTCCCTTCTCTGGACATGCTCCAGCTCCTCAGGTTCTTTGTTGTTATGAGGGCCCAAAAACTGATACCAAGATTTGAGGTGTGGTCTCACCAGTGATAAGAAAGGCGAAAAACCACTTCCCTGGTCCTGCCACCATTTCTGATCTAAGCCAGATATAGAGAGAAATTGAATTATTTCTTCCAGCAGGGAAGGCTGATAATGTGATTTAAATCCAGGAATGAACGTTGTCATTGTACACCTAAAAAAGTCTTGATGGGAAGTGCTGGATGCCCAGCATGGATATGGAATTCCTTGTGTAGGAGGTCACCAACAATTCCTAGGCTGTGGTGGGACCAGGATGGGTCTCATGCTGATCTCTGGGGCTGTGGGGGGGACTGTGGGACTCATCATCCCAACTCCATCCTGCACAAGGATCCCTCAACAAACCCCATTGCTAATCCCACTCTCTCCCTTCTCTGGGCCAGGCTTTTTGTCCATTTGGAAGAGGATCACCAAGAAGTGCTCCAGCACCTGCCCACACCACAACTTCCTCCTGGGCCTGGCCACCTACACCTCCTACTGCTGCCAGAGCTTCCTGTGCAACCTCAGTGCGTGCCCAGGGCCCCGGCTGGCTCGCCCATGAGGTGCCAGGGAGTTCCACTCCGTGTCCTTCTTCACCTGCTGGGAGAAAATGGACCCTGAAGGACTGAAGAGCTTGGCCAGATTCCCCCAAGAGGGTGTGGACATCAAACATGAGGAATAGATAAAGTATTGTGGTCATTGTCTTGTCCTGTGGTGCCTCCCAACTTTCTTCTTGTTTTCTTCTCATCCCTGAGCTCTGCAGCTCCAGCTTCCCCACCAGAGCTCTGAGTGCCACATCCAGGAGTTCCTGGCACACCTCCAGGAATGGTGGCTCCACCACCTCCCTGGGCAGCCCCTTCCAATGCCTGACCATCCTTTCTGTGAAAAAATTCTTCCTGATCTCCGTCCTGAACCTTCCCTGGAGCAACTTGTGGCCTTTCCCCCTCATCCTGTCCCTTGTTCCCTGGGAGCACAGCCTGACCCACCCCTGGCTGTCTCCTCCTGTCAGGGAGTTTTGGAGAGTCAGAAGGTTCTCCCTGAGCCTCCTTTTCTCCAGGCTGAGCCCCTTTCCCAGCTCCCTCAGCTGCTCCTGGTGTTCCAAGTCCTCCCCCATCTCCATTCCCTTCTCTGGACATGTTCCAGCCCCTCAATGTCTCTCTTGTCATTCTCTGGTCTCCAGCTTTGGGAAGGAGATGCTCCTGCACTTCCTGCATCTCCAGAGGGGTTTCTCCTAGAATTTTTTCTTATTTTGGGTGCAGTTGGAACTACAGAGTGGAAATTTCTGGGTAAAAATAACCCCTCTTATGTGTACATCTGTTTCCACCTCCACTTCCAGCATCCTTGGGAATCCCTTCCTTCACGTTGCTTTGCTGTTGTTGGAGCCACACGGCCTCACCCAGGGCCAGCAGCTCCCTGGATTCACAATTCCTACCTCTTGGAATTGTGTCTCCCAGCAAAACATTAATTCACCTTTTCCTCAGACATCCTCCAAGGCAACAGCAGGGTAATCATGGAATATCCTGAGTTGGAAGGGATCCACAAATATCATCAAAGTCCAACTCCTGGTCCTGCACAGGACAAACCCAACAATCCCACCCTGTGCCTGAGAGCTTTTTCCAGGCACTTCTGGAACTCTGTCAGGCTTGGTGCTGGCATCACTTCCCCAGGGAATTCCAGTGCTCAAACCCGCTCTGGATGAAGAACCTTTTCCTAAAATCCAGCCTTCCCTGGCACATCTCCAGTTGCTCCCTCAGGTCCTGGGCACCAGAGAGAAGAAATTGGTGCCTCCTCCTTTGCTTCCCCTCATGAAAAGCATTTGCTTGGGTTGAGCTGCTGAGAAAACTTGGAGAGGTTTACAAGGAAAAGAGATTCCAGAGAGGTCAAATATTTGATAGAGATGTTTCCAGAGGCTGCAGAGAAACAAGGGTAAAAAGGAGGTGGAAAAATAAACAATGACAAGACAACAGAGGTTTTTCTTTGGTAGATGTGGTCTGAGTGCCTCTCCTTTCTGCTAAACAACACTTTTTTGGAGGAATTTCACACTGGAAAAATCATGGGAATGCTTTAGCTCGAGTCAAAGCTCCCAGATCTGCAAAACATTGCTCAGCCAAGGGATGACACACTATGTTGTGCTTCCAACCCCAGCCTGGTAAACAACGGGGACAAAAGGAGCTTTGAGCTGTGCTTAGCTGGCCTGCCTCAGGCTGGAGCCTGGGGCTGCTCACATTGGAGGATTTCTTTCCAAATACTCCAGAATAGGGAATTTTCAGGGGTGTGTTTCTCTTTTATTAATCAATTTGTTCTTTCCTTCACCCCCTCCTGCCATGTGAAGGAACCTTTCCCTCTTATTTACAGCATGATCTCTTCCCAACCCACATTGGGAATTTTTATTTCCCACCCTAAATCAATTCAAGCCCCCTCCCTTCCCTCAACCCAAAGCTCTTAATTTACTCATCACACAATATTTCCTCACAAAAACAAAACAAAACAACAACAAAAAGGGATTTGTGTGGTTCTTCTCCTGTGTGCCAGAATTTTTCCACTCTCTGAAAGCACTGAGGAATCCCAGTTGGACAGACTCTAATAATTAATATTTGATTGGGTTGGATTTATTCTTCCCGCAGTCGTGGAGACAGAGGCTCCCCCAGCCTGCAGGAAAACACAGTTGAGAAATTTTTTTGCTGCTTTAAAGCAAAACTGGCTGGTTTTTTTTCCTTGATTTGCTGTGCCTTTGCTGCAGAAAAACTTCCCTGTATCCATGGATAATAGAAAGGGAAAATAAATCATCCTGGGCATGGTTGAAGAATAAAGGGTAATTTTTTTTTTACAGCATTAAAAATAAAGTAAAAGAGAGGAGGTTTAGATGGGATATTGGAAATAAAATTTTATTGGGAAGGGAGTGAGGGCCTGGAATGGATTTCCCAGGGAAGCTGTGGCTGCTCCATCCCTGGAAGGGTCCAAGGCCAGGCAGGAGAGGAGTTGGAGCAATCTGGGATAGTATGAGGTGTTCCCATGGCAGGGGGTGGCACTGGATGATCCTCAAGGTCCTTTCCAACCCAAACCATTCCCTGATCCTATAATTCTCAGTGCAGCTCAAGGATATGGAAATCCCTCCTCCCGTGATGCCAATCAACCCTGGTGGCAATTACTCCTCTCCAAGACATCTCAGATGTGCAGGAAGGAGAGGAGGGAGTGATTCCCAGCCACTAATTTTGGCCAGGAATTAGGGCCAGTGCATGGAGAGATGGGAGTCATTAACACACGGATGAGGCTGCCCAGAAAATTACCCCGAGCTGTGTCCTGCAAGGCAACATCCACCCCTTGGACTGGGAAGGTGTTTGGAGGATCCTAAACAAAAAAGGGTTGTAAAAAAATGTTTTATCCTTGCTCCAGACTGCTCTGAGCTTCTCTGACCCCATCCAAAGACTTGGACAGGGGTGAAGGTGCTCCAGAGGCTCATCCTGCTGTTATTGCAGGAATCTGGGGAGGGAATACCCAAACTGATACACATGGGGACAAAGGAGAGGAGGAGATATTGTCCTCCAAGGCATGGCAAAAGCTCCCTGGAGGAAGAATTCCCAGAGCATGGCACTGAGAGAGGCAGCACAAAGCAAACACAGAGCCCTTTCAGCGTCTGGAGCCGGCAGGATCACGTGGAACTGAGATGGAGCAACACTTCCAAATGGAATGATAAATGCCTGGCTGTGGATAATCATCAGTGTAAATACCTCAGAGACGTGTTGGATGGAGTTGTGACGTGGTTCCTTCATGTCCAGGATGGTTGTCACCCTTCATCTCTGCTATCAGAGCCACCAACAGCCAAATCCCATGGAAAAATTGATCCCTGTGCTGATCCATGTGTGTGGGAGAGGCTGAGGAGTGCTGGGAGGAAAGAGGGAATGAGATGGAGACATAAAACCTTTAAAAAAGAGGGAGAGGAATTCCCAAAGCAGGGATTCATGATGAGGGGTCATCAGATAGTGGCATGTGACACCCCACTGTCCCCCTGCCACCCCCACCATGAGATGAGCGTTGGCCAAGGCAGGAAAACCCCAAACCTCCTCTCTGAGGTACAGCAACCCAAGAGCTGTTTCCTAACTCTTTGTGGGGTTCAGGGAAGGGGGTGAGGTCCTCATTTGGTTTTGGGATTACAGAGTGACTGGATGGATCACAGAAAGCAGGGAATATGGAGAGGGGAGAAGTGACCTGGCTGTTCCCAGCCAGGGATGGATAAACACATCTCTGAGCTTGTGACACTTTTCTGCTGGGAGTTTGGGTGGAAAAAGTGCAGGAAATTCAGCTTTGGGGGAAAATTCCAGCTTTTTGGGGAAACCAGGAGTTTTCCAAACCAAAAGCTGGAAGCTGGAACCTCTGGAGCTGTTTGCGGTCAAGATGGAATGAAACAAAAAAACCAAACCAAACTCAAGCAAAACAAAACAAAAAAACAAACAAAAAACCCCAAACAAAACACCCTCCCCAAAAAAAAAAACCCAAAAAAACCCACAAAACAACAAAAAACAAACCAAACCAAACAAACAAAAAAACCCCCAAAAATATGTTTCTAAAAATTCTCATTCTCCTTTTTTGTTAACTTTTGGATTTCCAGTATTCCAAACTGAAATAACTTTTGGGGATTCATGTCCTGGCCTTATTTCAATGCTGGATGCCTCAGGCTGTGTCTGCCCCACAAACTGTAGATTTTGGGATTAATCCCCCCTGCGAGGACACCTGAATGGCTCCATGGAGACCCCCAAATCTTTCCAGAAGTGAATCCGAAGGATCAACCCCTTCCATGCCTAAATGAGTTGTTTTGAATCCCAGATTGAGTGAGAAAAATAAAACCAATTAAAAAAAAAAAAAGGTGGCAAAACTATAACAAGCTCACCCACCTACAAGGTGGGATTTGATGAAAATTGGCAAATTTCCATGCCTGGGGCACTAATGAATATTCTGAATTGCGGGAGGGCGGGGGGAGGACACATAACAATAAAAAAAATCACTTTTAAAGGAAATTCTGGCTGCTTTCCAGCACGAAGAGCCAGACAAAGCCCACGAGAGGGAGCTGCTGCCTCTGTCCATGGGATGCTCCAGCCCATGGAGAGCCGCTGATCCTGGAGCAATTTCCAGGGAATAAAAGCGAGCAGCAGTGCGAGGGATGAGCCAGCTGGGCTGGAAGCAACCAGGCAAGGATCCGTCCAGGCTGTGTCCCCATCCTGCTGATCCCACCCGAGCCGACAGCAGGTCCTGGCCATTCTCCAGCGTCTGCTTGCTCCCAGCAACCTGGGATGTGCCTTGCTTTGGACTCTGGGGTAATTCTGTGCTAGAGCAGGGGGAATTGCCATCCGAATCCCAAAGCCCTGCAAGGTTTTAATCCAGAGTTTGGGCAGCTTGGAAAGGGGTGTGACCCTCTGTCCCACTCTTGGGAACGCCCAAAATTGTCGGGATGGACCAGGCAGCATGAAGGGAATTTTATTTTCTTAGCACCCATGAAGTTTAGGGGAGTGAAGAGGGGATCACATTGGATGGGGTTGTGCCTTTAAGTCCCATTCTGGGTGACTTTTC